TGGAGGCAGCATAATTTGCGCTTGGGAATACTATTCTCGCTCATTTATTAAGTGAGTTAGAAGACTGCCAGTTTCAAGGGGAGTCCAAAGTAAGAAAGCTCTACATCAGATACAGGTTACAGTACTGGCATCCCTGCTTCTTGGGCTATATGAACCAGTAGACCCCAAGGCACTGGAAGTATTTATGGTGGAAATAGATGCTGTATGGAGTCTCAGATAAACCCAATAAGAGAGTTCTGCCCCAGAACTCTGGACTTCTGGAGCAAGGCCATGTTGTCTTCATCAGAGAACTATACACCATTCAAAAAAGCAGCTCCTGATATACTGCTGGTCTTTGATAGAGACTGAGAATCTGACCGTGAGATATTAAATGACTCTGCAACCAGAACTACCCATCACAAACAGGCGCTATTAGATTCACTAAATTGTAAAGTTGGTTAGGCCCAATGGCAATACATCCGAGACTGAGATTGAGTACGTCTAGAGGGCACAAATAAGTTTCGTGTCATCACTTATTGTTGCACTAATGCCCCTCTTTTAGCTCACACCTGTGGACTTGTGAGGGGTCTCTATATGCATGTAATGAAAGAAGAAAACATAAACTGAGCTTGGTTCATGAATGAGTTAGCTTGGGATATTTGTACAAACCAAAACTGGATTATTGCTTCACTATCCCTCCTATCAGTGTTGGCCCTTAAAGACAGTGGTTAGGGGACGTCCTCCTAATGGGAGAGCTTCAGGTGGTACACCTGATAATCCATTTTTCTTTTAAGAAGGAAATAGGCCAAGTAAAAATATACACAGGTTCATGGGCTGTGGCAAATGATTTTGGGTGTTTTGTCAGGTCCTGGAAGGAGCAGACTGGAAGACTCGATTGAGGAATCTGGGGAAAAGGCATGTGAGTGGACCTTGTGTTGCATGTTAATGCATACCAGAGAGCATGCACTATGGAAGGGTCACAAAACAAACAAATGGATGGATGACGCAGCCAGCCGATGAAGGTCAACCTCTGTCCTTGGCTGTTCCAGTGCTTGCACAAATGGACTCATGGATGAAATAGCTGTGGATGGTAGAGAAGGAGGCTATGCATGAGTCCAACAGCTTAGGCTCTCTTTCACCAAGGCTATAGTTATTGCCACTTCTGAATTTCTGACCTGTTAGCAATAGAGATTGATTCTAAGCCCCAGATAATGGTATACTCACTTGAGGAGATCAACCATCTATTTGTTAACATGTTAATTACATCAGACTCTTTCTATTGTTCAAGGGGCAAGGCTTTTTGCTTACTGTTCTTGATACATAGTTTTGGATATGGACTTACTTTTCCTGACCAAAGCAACTTGGCCAGCATCACTCTCTGCAGTGCATTGTCTGGCATGATTATCCAGGGTTTCACCGTATGTCTGATCTATGGACATGGGATCAGATGAAGAGATCCAGTTTATGCCAAATAAAGTGTGACAATGGGTGCATGACCGTGAGATCCACTGGTCCCTGCCACATAAGGCACCATCCAGAAGCAACCAGCCTGATAGAGTAATGGATTGGCCTCTTAAAAATGCAGTTAAACTCCAGCTTGGAGACGGTAATTGCAAGGATGAGGTATTACAGAGTGTAGTCTATACGTTAAACAGATGGATATTGTCCAAGAACCACAGAGTGGTAGTAGAAGTGCCCCTACTCACCAGCGCTTCCAGTGAACAACTTGAGGGTATTTGATTCCATTACCTACAACCTTATGCTCTGATGATATAAAGGTTCTGGATCCCAGGGGAAGGATGCTTCTACCAGGGAACATAGTAAATCTCCCACTAACCTTAAAACTATAGCTGCCATGTAGTCATTTTTCATTCTTTGTGACAGTAGAACAACAAGCCAAAAAAAAGGAAAGAAAAGAAATTACCATATTTCAGGATAATTTACTGTGATTATCATGAGGAGCTAGGGATGCTGCTGAACAATGGGGTAGAGGGGCAGAAAGGCAAGTGTTTGGCACTCAAGTGATCCACTGAGGCTTTTCTGAAAATTCTCATGCCTAGTTTTAGCTGTAAATGGGAAAATATAGCAAGTATGGCCTGATAAGGGTATGGTAACTGGGGCTTTAGAACCCTGAGGGATGATGAAGGTCTCTGGTTCACCCTATCAGGCTAGCCATCTAGAAGAAGTGATGACTGAGGGTAAGGACAATCTAGAATAGACAGTAGAGCAAGGAGATGATGAGTGTCCATTAGGGCATCAAGATGAATTTCTAGGATAGGGAGGTGGCGGGCACTGTTGGTGTGTCTACAACCCCAAGTCCCTGGCCAGAATTGCTTTATAGGTTCAGTTTGTGTTGTTTGTTCCTGGGCTCTTGAGGTACTATTGCAAGAGTTGGTAATCTTCTCTGGAGAATTGCCTTTTGGCTGTTGAGTTACCTCTCCTGGAGTTGTCTTGGAGTTACTCCCTGACCCCATGCCCCAGGGCAGTCCTTCAGCTGAAGACAGTCGGTACAGGGGATACAAAAGCCCAGCCCCCTTGTCTCAAGGTGGGAAAGACTCTGAGGCACAATTTATACTCTAGAGGTCCCCTAGAGCATCAGGCTAAGGCTAGAATTTCCCTGAAATCGTATACTTTAGCTGCATCTTCCTCCCTCTCTTGCTTCTCTCACTCTCTTCCAGGTTCCTCCTGAGAGTGCCCTCAATAAAGCACTTGCAAAAGTATCCTTGTTTCAGACTCTGCTTCTAGGGAACCCGGCCTAAGACGCTATCCGACTAGTCCATAGTTTTGTGAAACAGAAAGATAAATTGCCAATGTAGGTCACTGTAAATTCAGATCAATCTACTTCTTCTCAGTCCCCAAATGCTTAAAGATCTACAGGGCTTCCAAACATTTACTAAAATATATTTCGTGAAGGGAGTGATTTTGGAACTGTACGAGCAGGCGATAGGGAAAAGTGTTTTCTGAAACTATTGAAATTATTAGAACACTTTGCAAATAACATTCTGGCAGACTTATTTGAAATATTATATGGGGGAAGTTCCAGAAGGGATAGAATTTCTTGATCATCGAAAGTCTGTTATTAAAACTTAAAACACAAATTTGCCAGTATTGTTCAGTAAATTCTCTTATGGCTTTTGTTAATCAACCCCTGTACATTCTTTAAAGATCTAGCTAATTTTCTCTACATAGTCTGCAAATAGAGTGCATTTCATGCTAGTGAAAGGACAGTTAAAGGAAGTGTGTCTGGTACACTAACATCTTAACGATTATTAAGTTTTTGCTTTGAGAAAAATATTCATCCAAGAACAACTTAGGAGAACTTGCTCAGCAGATCCACTTAAAAAAGATGGGGCTGACCAGCGGCTTGGTGGTAAGTTCATGAGCTCCACTTAGGCCGCCAGGGGTTCGCAGATTCTGATCCTGGGTATGGACCTAGCACTGCTCATCAAGCCATGCTGTGGCAGCATCCCACATAAAATAGAGGAAGATTGGTACAGATGTTAGCTCAGGGCCAATCTTCCTCACATACAACAAAAAAGAAAAAGGGATAAAAATGCTCCAGCATCTATGTTCAGTTATATTCAGATCAGGCTCACTAAGGGGCTATTTTCTCACCAATGCTAATTTGAAAGCCAGGACACGCTGCTGCTTCAGTGTCAGGATTTTCATGTGGTATCGCTTTCTTATGTCTCCCATATACTTGTTTTGCTTCTGTCTTCAATTTATTTCTGATTTTACTTTTTAGAAGGTAAAGTTTTAAAATTTTGGAATAATTTTAGATTTACAGAAAAGTTGCAGAGATGCTCCAGAGTTCCCATATATGTTCACTCAGTTTCCCTTAAAGTCAACGTCTTATATAACTATGTTGATACATTATATTTGTGAAAACTAAGAAATTAGCATCAATGTATTACTATTAACAAAATTCAGGATTTATTTGGATTTTACCAGTTTTTCCACTAACGTCCTTGTTCTGTTCCAGGATCCAGTCCAGGATCCTACCTTGCAGTGAGTTGTCCTGTCTCCGCAGTCTCCTTGGCTCTGTTTCTCAGTCTTTCCTTACTTCTTCATGACCTTGACAGTTTTAAAGATTATTGGTCAGACATTTTGTAGAGCGTCCTTCAATTTGTATTTCTCTGATGTTTTCTCATGATTAGACTGAGGTTGTGAGTTTTAGGGAAGATTACCGCAGAGTTAAATACTGTTCTCATCACATCACAGCAGGGGGCACATGAAAGCAACTTGACTTATTGCCGTGACGGTACCTTCCTATTTCAGTTTTGACCGTTCATTAGACCCTATAACAACCCGCCTTATTCTTTTTTGATTTGTATAGTCTTCCTGTTGCTTCTTAGTTTCACAGATCCTGGAATGCTCATCTTTTCTCTGTTCTGATATTTGTGTCTTTTTGGGCTTTATGTGCTCTAAGTTTTCTTTTCATGATGCTCTAACTCTTGTTTTGCATATGTTCTCTTTTGCTGGATAAAATCTCATCAGTCAGGTTCACTGACCTACTGATGTTACAGCTTATTGCTCTCCATGTTTTAACTTGAGAACAGTAGTGATAGAGTCAGAAACAATACCAAATTTTGTTCAATAATCTTCTGTTTGAAAATATAGGAAACGGGCAATACATTTTAGTAAAATGGTTAAAATAAATAATTTTTGTGCCTAGTGGAGTGAACTTCACTGATATTGAATACCTTACTCTCCCAGTGACTCCACCTGCATAGACACTGCAGGACAACACACAGTCTCTCCTTCGGAAGAGTTTAAAATTCAGTGACAAATAGATTTTTAACCCTTAGGTTGGGCTTATTTTTGTGGAAATAGTAAGAATGGCTTATATAATACAAGTTATAATTTTTGATATATTGTTGCAGATTTTAAATCCTACGTAGTCTGAGACATTTTAATCAACAAATTTTAAGCACTGTTTGAAAGGATTAATTCATGTAAAATTGTTGTTTTGCTGCTTCTATTACATTTGTCCTCACTCTCAGTTGTTCTGGACTCTCTAGGAACAGATATCCTATATTATTCCAATAGATGAGAAACCATATACTGTGCACCTTAAGCGAAGGTAATTTTTTATTCTTTAGTTTTCCATTTTATTTTATTTATATGAATTTGTTTACTTATAATAAAAAATTGAGTATTAAAAATTACGAATATAGTTGTTATTAACATTTTTAGTTGTTTCAGATGAATAGACGCTCTCCTGTGAATTAATTAAATTTTTGGTCCTAATGCCTCAAGTAGTCTTTTGTTAGGGGGGTTAGGAAGGGAAAAAATAGTGACTCACCTCCTGAAGAAAAATCGATACAGTCTTAAATTAGCAGAACCTGCAGGGCCTTTATAATCAGGACAGGATATCACACTAAGAAGTGAACCTGTAACTGACTGTATCAGTTAGGGTTTATCAGGGAGGCAGGGCCACCAGCAGGGATGTGGAATAAGGGATTTAATGTAGAAATTAGATCATACACTATTGTGAGAGCTGGTGAAGTTTATGGAAAATAGTACTAGCTATGTGCCATCCTTCAGGGAATTGAGAAAATAATCAAAATAACTTTCTATAGGGTTTCATTCTTTGTTGAAAAAGCTTGGCTTGGAAGTAATTTGTGACTTTCAAGAGGATAGTTTCAGTTAAATTTTGGGAGTAAAACTAGACTACATGGTATTAGGGAGAGGCAAATTGTGAGAAACCGAAAGTAGTAAGTGTAAATAACTTTTTCAAAACCATTGGGCAAAGAAAAAAGAGGAGGCTCAGACGAATGCTTTCTAAGAAAGAAGAAATGAAATTTTTTAGCTGAGGAGAAGTTTCTTTTTTCTTTTTTTGGGTGGGGGGGGGGTCGAAGATTAGCTCTGAGCTAACATCTGCCACACAATCCTCCTCTTTATGCTGAGGAAGACTGGTCCTGAGCTAACATCCATGCCCATCTTCCTCTTCTAGATGAAAATAATCCATAACCAATCTATAGATGAAAATTTGGGAGAGTTTATTCTGAGCTGAAATCTGAGGACCATGGCCTGGGGCCTTTCTTCCCGAAGGAAGAAAGGGCACCAAAGAAGTGAGGTGTACAGAGTGGTTATATACCCCCAAACAGGACGTTTCACATATGATTGAAATGTCCCTCCCACAATAGTCACAAGATTGCCCTGTTGGCACAGGGCTTGATGGACACAGCAGGTAGTGGGTCTGCTATCTCGGAGGGCATAGCAGGAGGCAAGTCTATTGTCTCAAGCTGGGTGGTCACAGGTGAGTGCAGCAATCAGTTCCTAGCCTAAGGAATGATGCTTAATCCTTAAGGAAATGCCAACGTTGGGAGGGGGAGGGAAGTTGCACCTTTATCTTAAGGGCCTTTGTTCTTGCCATAGTAAATGTTTTAAAGCAGATATACAATGCATGCTCAATGGCCACAGTCAGTCCCTTTTGGAAGAAATAGCAAAGTCAGGCCGAATTAGGTTTACACCAAATGGCTTCCTCATGTACCCCAATATATCCTATTGCTTGCCATTTCTATTTGTCAATGTATACCTGGGAGCTGCTCAGGCAAGCTGAGCAACTCGCCAAAATGGCTGAAACCCCCACAGCTGAAATATCATATCCAGCTGAAGACAAAGGAGGATGTTGGGGGTGGGGGGAGTCAGTTACAGGAGGTTACCAGGCAAGCACAATAAACAAGTGCAGATTTAAGTCCTTGCCTTCCCCATTGATTAAGAGTTTGTAGAGATAAGGTCATCTCCCCTTCTTCCTGGTAGAGAGGGAGATATCTTTACAGATGGAGAGTTCCTTTACAGTGTAAATGTCTCTTACAAAGGGTAAGTAAATTCTACTTTTCAGTTGCTTTCCTGGCTGCAAAGTAAAGAGCCACAAATAATCCTCATGCCAAAGAGACATACCTTGGGGTGGCCAATTCCAGGCCCCCACAGGGGCTCTATTTTTAGGTATGTATATGTTTTTAATTGTATATTTTGATAGATTGACCCATTTATCAATATATAATATCCTTCTTTGTCTCTTAAAATTTTTTGGCTTAAAATATATATATATTTTTTCTGATATTAGTGTAGCCATCTCAGTTACTATTGGTTACTTTTACATGGCATATCTTTTTCCATGCTTTCAGTTTCAACTTTTTGTGTCTTTGGATCTAAAGTGAGTCTCTTTAGAAAGTATATAGTTGGATCATATTTTTTTGATCCATTCTGCCAATCTCTGTCCTTTAATTGGAGAGTTTGATACATTTACAATTAAAGTAATTAATGACAAGGAAAGACTTACTTCTGACATTTTATCATTTTCTATGTTTTATATATATTTTTGTTCTTCAACTATGCCATTATTGCTTTCTTTTGTTTATTTGATTTTTTCCTTGTGTATTGTCTTGATTCCCTTCTCATTTTTTTCTGTATATTTTTACTTAATTTCTTAGTGGTTACCTTGGACATTATAATTAACATCTTAAATTTATAATAATCTTGGTTTTAATTAATGTTAATTTAGCATTCATAGTTTACAAAAATCTCTGCTCCTATATATTTCTAATCCCTTTATGTTGTTGTCATAAATCATATCTTTACACATTGTACTCTCATTGAAATTAATTTATAATTATTGCTTTGTGCATTTGCTTTTAAATAGTATGAGAAAATAGAGGAGTTACAAGCCAAAAGATAATAATACTGGCTCCTGTATTTACCAAAGTAGTCCCATTTACTATGTTCTTTATTTCTTTGTACAGCTTTGAGTTACCTAATGTACTTTCATTCTGGCTTGAGAGACTAACTTTGGTATTTATTGAGGATAGTGTATTAGGGCTATCAAAACAAAGTACCTCAGACCAGGTGGTTTAAACGACTCAAATTTGTTTTCTCAGTTCTGGAGGTAGAGATCTGAGATAGAGGTGTTGGCAGGGTTGATTCCTTCTGAGGCCTCTCTGTTTAGCTTGTAGATGGCTATCTTTTCCCTCTGTCTTCACATGGTCTCCCTTCTGTATGTGTCTTTATCCTAATTTTCTCTTTTTATAAGGGTACCAGTTATGACTAGGGCCCACCCTAATGACCAAACTTAATACTTCTCTAAAGGCCCTATCCCCAAGTATAGTTACTGGTGGTTAGGACTTCAGTGTATGAATTTTGAGAGGAGACAATTCAGCCCATAACTGGCAGCTCTCCTGGCAACCAACTCCCTCAGTTTTTGTTTATCTGGGAATGTCGTAATTTCCCCTTCATTTTTGAAGATTAGTTTTCTTAGATGCAAAATTCTTGGTTGACAGTTTTTTCTTTCAGCACTTTAAATGTCATCCCACTGCTTCTTGCCTCCATGGTTTCTAATGAGAAATTGGATGTTAATATTTTTGAGGATCCTTTGTTCATGATGAGTTGCTTTCTATCATGCTATTTTCAAAATTCTGTCTTTATCATTGGCTTTTGACAGTTTGATTTTAATGTGTGTTGGTGTGGATCCTTCTGAATTTACCCCACCTAGAGTTTTTCGATTTCCTTGGATGTGTAAATTCATGTCTTTCAACAAATTTGGAAAGTTTCCACCCATTAGTTCTTCAAATTTCCTTTCTGCTCCTTTCTCTTTTTCTTCTTCTGGGGACACCTATTATGCATATGTTGATATTCTTGATGATGTGCCACAGGTCTCTTAGACTCTTCATTTTTCTTATTCTTTTTTAATTCTGTTCCTCATACTGAATAACCTTGATTGATTTTTTTTTTTGAGGAAGATTAACCCTGAGCTAACTACTGCCAGTCCTCTTCTTTTTTGCTGAGGAAGCCTGACCCTGAGCTAACATCCATGCCAATCTTCCTCTACTTTATATGTGGGATGCCTACCACAGCATGGCATGCCAAGCAGTGCCATTTCCGCACCCAGGATCTGAGCCGGTGAACCCTGGGCTGCCGAAAAGCGAAACAGGCAAACTTAACTGCTGCACCACCAGGCTGGCCCCAATTGATTTGTTTTGACATTTGAATTTTCCTTTGTGTTACTGTATTTTAAGCTTCAGAATTTCTCTTTTGTTATTTCTGTATTTTTATTGTTATTCTTTACTTGGTGAGTCATCATTCTTCTTGTTTCCTTTAGTTCTTTCTCCATGGTTTCTCTTAGCTCTGTGAGCATCTTTGCCTGTTAGTCCAATGTCTAGGCTTCCTTAGGAATAGTTTCTGTTTCTTTTTTTCCCTGCAAATGAACCACACTTTCTTGTTTCTTTGCATGCTTCATATTTTTTCGTTGAGAACTGACATTTTGAATATTACAAAGTGGTAACTCTAGAAATCAAATTTCCCACCCTTCTCATGGTTTGCCATTCTTGCTTATTGTGGGTTGTAGTTTGTTTGTTTAGTGATTTTTCTGAACTATTTTTGCTATAGACTATGATTTGTCTCTAAAGTCTATTTTCCATTAATGGTCAGCTAATGAATTGATAGAGATTTCCTTAAATGACTGTAACCAACAGTTTATTGTTCAGAATTCCTAAAAGGAAAGGGCACACCACATCATGCAGAAACCACACAGGGGAGCAACAGGGTAGGTCAGGAGACAGAGAGAGCAAGGGGAAAACATGAGCAAGGAGCCTCGATTGTGGTTTCTGTGGGAAGGAATGGGCAAGGCAAGGTAAACAGGTTTAGACTAGGCTAGTTTCAGTGGATTCTGGGGTGTAGCGGTTGTCTCTGGTTGTCTGGTACCTGGCCCTTGGGTGATTAGGGCAGGGGAATAATGGCTTGGAGTATAAGAGCCTGATAATGGAGGTGGTTGTGGGTTGGATTCTGGATTGATTAGTTGGGTAACAGGGGGAGGGTAGGACCAGGGAAGACTTTGTGAAAAACCTTCCTTTGCAAGGGCAGATAAGTATGAGAGAAGGTTCTTTTCAGAAAACTGCAAGAATTTTAGTATGATTAATACACAGGATTGAAGAAGGGAAATGGAAAGAAATGAAGAATTGACATGATATTTGAATTTTATCCTAAACGTGATGGAGAGTCATTGATAGATTTTGAGCAGGGGAGTGACATGTTCATGTTTTCATTTTAGAATCCTAATTTTTGTAGAAGTGTAGGGACTGGATT